GCTTTGGGAAATTTTTATTGATTTCACGTTTAAATTAAAAAATAATTTTTTTTTCCTGTGGAAAAAATTTTTAGGCATCATTCTCTCTCCACAATAAAATAATTTTTGAGTTTTCCTTAATTCTATTTAAGTTAAAAAATCCAAAACTGTGAATTTTAAAATATACTTCCACAAAAAACCCGGAAAAGTTAATGTTTATTCACTAATTAAAAAGGTAAATTTTCATTTCAATTGAAAATGTATTAATATCCCTTCAAATTTTTCCAAAATAGTCTTATTTCTGTGCAAATGTATATGCTGAAATCAACAATTAGATATTGAAAAAACCTACCTTTTTGGATGTTAACGACCAGAAAAAAATCGGACTTTCGCTCTTTTTGTCATCCCTTACCTGCTTATTGAGAGACATTGTTTGTTGGACCATTTAAACTAGTGACTTATACAATTTTGGCCTATTTACAAAAGAAAAAAGAAATTATAAAATTTTTTTTTTTAAAATTAACTTTCTCCATAAAGCGATTTTTTCTTTTTATTTGTACTTAATTTAAGAAGAAAGTTAACATTCAAGTGTAAGTGATAAGTGTAGTTTTTACTTAATTTTTAAAAGAAGAAGGTTAACGTTCAAATATCGACAAATAAAAGAATAACAAAGTAATTTTTTTTAACCTTCAAATATTTGAAGATATGAAAATACTTATAAATCATAGATAACAAAAAGAACAAAATAAGTAGTACAGTAAGGGATTTAATATTTAACATTGAAAATAAAACAATAATTAAATCAATTGTAAAAGAGGAAGTTAAAAGTTTCATATCTATGACATTGACAATTTTTGAAAAAATGCTATAAATGAGATACTTCACTTACAAATATACAATATAGATGTCTATAATGAAGTAGTTTTAGGGTCCTGGATACAGTCTGCTCGCCTCTCTCAGGAAAAAAAGTTAAAACTTATTATTGACTATGTTTAGGGACTGCTTTTACAAGAAAAAAAAAAATGAGCAATGTATTGTTTTAGAGAGAAGTTCTGTTATTGATTTTTTAATTATATCCTTAGTCATCCTCCATAGTGTTTCAACTGTCTGCGTGTGGATAGTTCGATCTGTTGGATCTACAAAGTGTTCAGAATGGTTGATTTATTTTGTTTGTGTACCCGTGTTCTATTATCCGCATATATCAAACCAGCAATCACTATAAAAATGATAGATCCTGGTTGGATGTGTTACATAATCAAAAGAACAAGGGTATGGGGCATACCTGGTGTTCTCCTTTCCCACAATCAGACGTATTTGGTACAATGAAGGTCTTCTTGAGACTCTTCAAATATTCCTTAATTTTTTACCGTCTTCATTGGTGTTTTCCTAAAGTTATATTTTAACTTTTTTGAATAAAAAAACACAATTGATTTTTTAATAAAATCATTAGTCCACCCAATTCCTGCACATTTTCCAGAAAAACTGGCACACCTCACTGCAGAAAAGGTAAACAAATTCACTGAAATTACATTGAGATGTCCAAGTTTTCGAAAACATTATCCTGTGGCACCAGCATATTATTATTAAAGAGGGAGGATCAATGTATTTTTGGGGTATTTTTTTACACTGTTTAGTCATTCCTAGCACGTCCGAAATTTTCGTTAAAAATCTTGTTTTTTTTTTTGTCAATATAAAGGACAGATAATCAATCATTTTCAATCATTTTTTTCTATTTTATAAAAAAGATGAAAATCTGACTTTGATATTCTTTTAAAAATCAATTATCATTTTTTCAAAACTGATTTTAATAAAAACAGAAATTATAATGTTTATTTAAAATATTTTGAACCAAGCTTAAACTTAGCGAAAAAATGTAATTTGAAAAAAATGTAATTTAAAAAAACAAAATAAAACATTGACGAAAGGCACATTCATGACGTTTAGATAACTTACGGGAGGATAATTCTTTTACGGATGGAAGGAAGTGAAATTATTTAAGTGAACAAATTATTTACCTTGTTACTTTTTAGAAAACTTACGGGAGGATAATTTTTTTTTTTTTTTTTTTTTTTTTTTTTTATTTTTGTTAGCTTTCATTTTTACGTTTACGATGCTTTATGGAAAATATAAAGAAATTAAAAAATAAGACTGTTTAGAGATTAAATTTAAGAAAAAGGTATCTATTTAATTTAGGTTACCTTTTTTATGAAATTTTTTCAGAAGTGCATAAAATACTATAATTTTTTGTACATTTTTTTACTGTGTTATTTGTATTTCCATTCATTTTATTATTAATTTTGATATTTCATTTATGGAAAATGTCATAACTGAGATTAATATAAAAATAAGATCATATAAATTAAAGTTTAGAGATTAAATTTCATAAGATGATACTGTTACTTGTAGGTACCCTTCTCAGTTGAAATTGAAAACTCAAATTAACTTCTCCATACGTGTTTTCGCAAAAAAGTAAAGGGGCTTAACAGCGGAGAACAATGCTGAACTCAAATAATGCAACTAAATTGTATTCTGGTTGGTCTTCCGTACTTGATAATTACTGTCCGACTATAAACACAAAAAATTACATTTCTTAATTACCATGGCTAATCTGATTGGTCCAAATTATACAATTTTCAAAGCGCTAGACAATGACAATCTCATGAGGACATTTTTTGAAAGGTTGATGTTGCTTTTAACTAATGTTAAAATATTTTTTAAAAAATTTATTTTAAAAAAATTTTTAAAATTAAAGAAATAAGAAATAATTGTATAAAAATTCAATTTTCATTGAAAAAATTTTTTGCTTTCAGAAAATATTGTCCATATTCATAAAAACAAATTAAAAACAAATAAAAGCATTTGAAACTAAATAATATATTTGTTTTATTGAGTTTTGTATGTTACAATTCACAGCTGATTTTCAGGTACGTTGGCCAAAAAAAAAAAAAAAAAAAAACATGATTTGCATTCTTCAAAGCCTTGTGCTTTTAACTATTGTAATCACTAAAACCGATGGTCTCGAATTTCTAGAGTTTTTCATAAAATTAGTTATGGGGGTGTTAATAAATATAAAAAAATATTTCTGCCATGACTTTAATAAAAAAAAAAAAACATTTATAATAATTTCGATCATCTGTGAATAGTTTCTGAAAGTTTCATTAACATCTGACAATTATTTTTATTTTTGCAAGATTTTCCAAATTAATGTGTAAAAAAAAAAACGCGCTAAAAATTATCTATGTTATTTACTACCCCTTGTTGCGACAAAGAGAAACAAGGTTTTTTAAATCAAAATTTAGAATATTCTAAAAAGATGGAAAAATTTAAAAAAAATAATTAAAAAAAATTTAGTCTATCCTCTTCATAAAAAACATAAGCATTTTGACGATAAAATTTTGTTTTCATAAACTTTGGCGTCTTTTTCATCAGACTATGCTCTATTTTTTAGCGATTTCGTGGAGTTACCTAGGTTAAAAATTAAAGGATGTGGGTGTGTGTGTGTGTGTATGTAAAACAATATATGGGATCGATTTTTTATATTTTAAAGCAGATAAAACAAACATCTTTTTTTTTTTTTGGAGAGGTAGCAGACTTTATTGTCTTACACTTTTTTTTTTTTTACATTCAGAATATTTTAAAAATTCCATTTACAAGACAATTTTTTTTAATAAAATCTATTCACCAATCGATTTTTTCCATAGATTGAAAAACAATTTTTTTTAGTTTGATGATTGTTTTATTTTCAAAAAAAAAAAAAAAAAAATGCTTTACTGTACTATTCAACCTTTTTGTTTTTTTTGTTAATTTTATTTTTCATATCTTCAATGATGGTTGATACTTGAAAATCTCTTTACTTTTACATCCCTTTTATTTTTTTGTCGATATGTTCATATATTTTAAAAATTGAAAGTTAAGTTTTCTTCTTAAAAAATTATAAAAATAAATTTATCACTTATTTTCATTATTTCATACATTTGAAAGTTATTTTTCTTCTTAAAAAAAAAATTTTTTATTCTTTTATTTGTCGATATTTTCATATTAGAAAATTATTTTGTAAAAACTGGTTTTATCATTTATATTTGAATGTTAACTTTCTTCTTAATTTTTAAAACAAATAAAAAAAAAAAAAAATAAAATAATTAATATTTTCAAATTTGTATTAATTGAAATGGTTCAGCAGCGAATGTCTCTCAATTTATGTAAGGGATGACAAAAAAGAGCGAAAAGAAGTCCGATTTTTTTGGTCGTTAACATCTAAAAAGGTAGTTTTATTAAAAATCCCTAATTGTTGATTTGTGTTCAGCATATACATTTGCACGGAAATAAGACTATTTTGGAAAAATTTGAAGGGATATTAGCGCTCGGGTGTTGAAATGAAAATTTTAAGGTAAAATTTAGCTTTGGTAAACCACACAATGCCGGGAATTTCAACATGTCATTTTCATGGAAAATCTAGCTGAAAATTTTATATAAATAATAAAACTCTAACTTAGTTTTATTATTTTGCGTCTACTGCACATAAAACTCCTCAACTGAAGTTGAACTTTTAGGGGAAAATTGTTCTACCATGCAATAATCGTCAAAACTAGGCAATTTGAATAATTTTATAAATGTTCCTGGTAAAGAGATATTTTAAAAATAAAATCCGAGTTTTAGTTTATCTACGCAATACTTAGTGTTCCAGACCTTTTATACATGGTGCAATTTATTTATTTCAGTAGTCTAAAAAAAGTGAACGACGTTAATGCCTCAACTCTACTGACTGCAGATGAATTTTCTATGGCAGTTGAAAGTTAAAGATTATCAAAACAACCATGCACCATGGAACAAACATCAATAATTTTTTAAAGTAAGGTTTTAGCGTAAACAAAGTATTAGCATTAAAAATATTGATTTTTTTTAACTATAAAATATGAAACCTCATGAGTTCATCTATGCCAGTATCACACCGACACTACGAAAGTTGTTCGAAGTAACGTTTTATTATTAAAAATAAAGAAATGTATTTGATTAGAACTTACCGTTTCAGTACACGTTACCCCAGCAATTCCTCCACCAATAACTAAGTACTTAGCCTCTTTTATCAAACTCATCTTAAATTACAAGTAAAATCACTTTCCTACGAAAACAAACCACACAATATTGATTGACGAATACGGTGATACTTTGGATTCATTATTTTGATTTACGAAAATAAACACGCTTTTAGAATTACGCCAAAACTTAAAAAACAAAACATAAAACAAAAAAAATAGAAAAATTAATAATTTTTTTTTTTTATTAAATGAGCTTTTATAATCATGAACTAATTTTTCTTTCCAGTGTACACACAATAGGAAATTCATTCTTTACTTTATTGTTTAGTGTCGTAGTCTATTTTTAACATTTTCCCACGCCGTCAGAATTCCATTCAAAATTTGTTTTTGTATTTAATTTTTAAGCATCCAGGTCACGAATATCAAATTTTGGTAAATTTTTATTTTAACACCCGAGCGCTTAAATATCACTTCTAATTTTTCCAAAATAGTCTGGTGCAAATGTACATGCTGAACTCAAACCAACAATGAGATATTGAAGAAAAAATTCGGACTTTTTTCCTGGTCTTTCGTCAGCCATTTTTTTTTATTGATAAGTAATTCAGTTCTGAATTTTGTTGGTGGACGTATACAATTTTAATTTAAATTTACTTCCTTTACAGTAATTCCTTGTAGAAATTAGTACGCGCTTCCGAAAAAAAATTTTTTTTGTTTTTTGGTTTATTTAATTTAAGAAAAAGTTAACTTTCAAATATATGTAAACATCGACAAATAAAAGAATAACAAAAGTATTTTTTTAAGAAGAAAGTTAAATTTCAAATTAGGGTTAGGTTTTTTTTTTGTTATTCTTTATTCTTTTATTTTTTTTAAAAAAGAAAGTTAACTTTCAAATTAGAGTTAGGTGTTTTTTTTTTGCTTTTTCTTTTTTTTCTATTATTTATTTTTCTTAAGAACAAAGTTCACTTTCAAAATAGAGTTATGTATTTTTTTTTTTTTGGTTATTCTTTTTATTTTTAACTTTTTTGAAAGAAAGTTAACTCTCAAATTTAAAAGCAAATTTTTTTAGGAGGGTTTTTTTAAAATTTTTTTAAATTAAAAAAAAATTGAATTTTCAATTATATTTTTTAGGTGTTTTTTTTTTTTTTTTTATTTTTTTTTATTTAAAAAAAAAATTTTTTTTTAAGAAAAAAAGTTAACTTTCAAATTAGGGTTAGGTGTCTTATTTTTTATAATTTTTTATTTTTATTTTTTAAGAAGAAAGTTAACAAAAAATTAGGGTTAGGTGTCTTTTTTGATTATTCTTTTATTTTTTTAATTTTTTTAACAAATTTTAAAACTTTTCAAATTAGGGTTAGGTGTCTTTTTTTGGTTATTCTTTTATTTTTTTTATCAAAAGAAGAAAGTGAACTTTCAAATTTGGGTTATGTGTATTTTTTTTATTATTATTTTTTTTTTTTTTTTTTTTCAAAAGTTCATTGTCTTTTTTGTTATTTTTAAATTTTTTTTTTTAAGAATTTTTATTTTTTCTTTTTTAGGTTCATTCTTTTTTTTATTTTTTAAAATTTTTTTAACTTTGGGTTTGGTTTGTCTTTTTTTTTTATTTTTTTTTTTTTTTTTAAAAGAAAGTTAACTTTCAAATTTAGGTTAGGTGTCTTTTTTTGGTTATTCTTTTATTTTTTTTTTTTTTAAGAAATTTTTAACTTTCAAATTAGGGTTAAGTGTGTTTTTTTTTGGTTATTTTTTATTTTTTATTTTTAAAGAAGAAAGTTTTAATTTTATAAATTAGGGTTAGGTGTCTTTTTTTTTTATTTTTTTTTTTTTTTTTTTTTTTAAGAAGAAAAGTTAATTTTCAAATTAGGGTTAGTGTCTATTTTGAATTTATTCTTTTTTTTAAATTTTTTTAAGAAAATTTCTTTCAAATTTTATTTTAGGTGTTTTTTTTTAAGGGTTATTTTTTTTTTTTTTTATTTAAAAAAAAAAATTTAAATTTCAAATTAGGTTAGTGTCTTTTTTGGTTATTTTTTTTTATTGGAAATTTTTAAAAAAGAAAGTTAACTTTCAAATTAGGGTTAGGTGTCTTTTTTTTTTTTTTTTTATTTTTATTTTAAAAAGAAAATTTTTTTTCAAATTAGGGTTTTGTCTTTTTTTTTATTCTTTTATTTTTTTTTTTAGAAAGAAATTTTTAATTTTTCAAAATTTTGATTTGTTTTTTTTTTATTCTTTTTTTTTTTTATCAAAAAAAAGAAAGTTAACTTTCAAATTATGGTTGATTGTCTTTTTTATTTATTCGTTTTTTGAATTTTTTAAGAAAAAAAGTTAAGTTTCAAATTTGGGTGTAAAGTGTCTTTTTTTTATTTTTTATTTTTATTTTTTTAGAAGAAAGTTAACTTTTCAAATTAGGTTAGTGTCTTTTTTGTTATTCTTTTATTTTTTTTTTTTTTAAAAGAAAGTTAACTTTCAAATTTTTAGGTGTCTTTTTTTTATTTTTATTTTTTTTTTTTTTTTCTTTTTAACTTTCAAATTAGGGTTAGGTTTTTCTTTTTTTTTATTTTTTATTTTTTTTTTAAATTTCAAATTTTTTGTCTTTTTTTTATTCTTTTTTTTTTTTTTTTTTTAAAAGTTTTTCAAATTTTTTTTTTTTCACAAATAATTTTTTTTTTTTTTTTTTTTTTTTAAATTTCAAATTAGGGTTAGGTGTCTTTTTTTTTTACAGTTTTTTTTTTTTTTTTTAAGAAAATTTTAACTTTCAAATTAGGGTTAGGTGTCTTTTTTTTTTATTCTTTTATTTTTTTTTTTTTTTTTTAAAAAAAAGGGGTTAATTTTTTTTTTAATAATTTTTATAAATGTCTATTTTTAACTTTTAGGGTTAGGTGTCTTTTTAAATTTATTCTTTTATTTTTATTTTTTTTAAAAAGTTAATTTCAAATTAGGGTTAGGTGTTTTTTTTTGGTTAATTTTTTTTTTTTTTTTATGAAAAATTAATTTTTTTAGAAAAAGGTGTCTTTTTGGTTATTCTTTTTTTTATTTTTTAAGAAATTAATTTTTTTTCAAATTAGGGTTTTGTTTTTTTTATTCTTTTATTTTTTTTTTTTAAGAAGAAAGTTAACTTTCAAACAGGGTTAGTGTCTGTCTTTTTAGTTTTTTTTTATTTTTTTTTTTCATGAAAAAATTAACTTTCAAATTAGTGTCCATGTCTTTTTGGTTATTTTTATTTTTTTTTTTTTAAAAGAACATTTTCAAATTAGGTTAAAATACATTTTTTTTTATTCAAATTTTTTAAGAAGAAAGTTAACTTTCAAATTTTTGTCTTTTTTTTTATTCTTTTTTTTTATTTTTTAAGAAGAAAGTTAACTTTCAAATTAGGGTTAGGTGTCTTTTTTTGGTTATTCTTTTATTTTTATTTTTTTAAAAAAAAAGTTAAATTTCAAATTAGGGTTAGGTGTCTTTTTTTTGGTTATTCTTTTTATTTTATTTTTTTAAGAAAAAATTTTTTCAAATTAAAAAAGGTGTCTTTTTTTATTTTTTATTCTTTTTTTTATTTTATTTTTTTTAGAAAGAAAGTTAACTTTCAAATTAGAAGGTTAGGTGTCTTTTTTGGTTATTCTTTTATTTTTTATTCGTTTTTTTAAGAAGAAAGTTAACTTTCAAATTTGGGTTAAAATTCTTTTTTGGTTATTATTTTTATTTTTTTTTAATTTTTTTTGGGTTAAATTTTTTTTCAAATTAGCTTTTTAGTGACATTTTTTTTTTTTTTTTAAGAAGAAAAAAAGTTAACTTTCAAATTAGGGTTAGGTGTTTTTTTTTGGTTATTCTTTTTTTTTTTTTTTTTCTTTTTAAGTTAACTTTCAAATTAGGGTTAGTGTCTTTTTTGGTTATTCTTTTTTTTTTTTTTTTTTTTAAGAAAAAAAAACTTTCAAATTAGGGTTAGAGTGTCTTTTTTTGTTATTTCCAATTTTTTATTTTTTAAGAATTTTTTTAGGGTTAGGTGTTTTTTTTGGTTATTCTTTTATTTTTTTTTTTTTAAGAAGAAAGTATTTAAATTTCAAATTAGGGTTAGTGTCTTTTTTTGGTTATTCTTTTTTTTTTTATTTTTAAGAAGAAATTTAACTTTCAAATTAGGGTTAGGTGTTTTTTTGGTTATTCTTTTTTTTTTTTTTTTAAGAAGAAAGTTAACTTTCAAAAGGGTTAGTGTTTTTTTTGGTAATTCTTTTATTTTTTTTTTTTTAAGAAGAAAGTTAACTTTCAAATTAGGGTTAGGTGTCTTTTTTTCTTTTATTCTTTTATTTTTTTTTTTAAGAAGAAATTTTAACTTTCAAATTAGGTTAGTGTCTTTTTTTATTCTTTATTTTTATTTTTATTTTTTCAAATTTTTAGGTGTCTTTTTTTTTATTCTTTTATTTTTTTTTTTAGAAAATGTTAACTTTTTCTTTTTTGTTTTTATTTTTATTTTTATTTTCTTTTTTTTTAATTCTTTTTTTTTTTATTTTTTGTTTAAAAAGAAAGTTAACTTTCAAATTAGGGTTAGGTGTCTTTTTTTTTTTATTCTTTTATTTTTTTATTTTTAAGAAGAAAGTTAACTTTCAAAATTAGGGTTAGTGTGTAGAAAATTATTTTTTTTTATTTTTTTAAGAAAGAAAGTTAACTTTCAAATTAGGGTTAGGTGTCTTTTTTTGGTTATTCTTTTTTTTTTTTTTTTTAAGAAGAAAGTTAACTTTCAAATTGGGTTAGAGTGTCTTTTTTGGTTATTCTTTTTTTTTTTTATTTTTAAGAAGAAAGTTAACTTTCAAATTAGGGTTAGGTGTCTTTTTTTGGTTATTCTTTATTTTTATTTTTTAAGAATTTTTTTCAAATTAAGGGTTAGGTGAATTTATTCTTTTTTTTTTTTATTTTTTTTCTCGTTTTCAAATTAGGGTTAGTGTCTTTTTTGGTTATTCTTTTATTTTTATTTTTTTAAGAAGAAAGTTAATTTTCAAATTAGGGTTAGGTGTCTTTTTTTGGTTATTCTTTTATTTTTATTTTTTTAAGAAGAAAGTTAATTTTCAAATTAGGGTTAGGTG